GGCTCAAGGATGCCAGTCTTGACCAGCAGCTCTGTCAGCTCTCTCCCTTCCTTGTACAGCATTGCAACCAAATTCTGGGCGAGCTCCTGCAAAACCAGGGCAGTACGCAGACAAATGCCACCCTATGGCCCCACACAAGAACTACTTCTACCATGTCGCTAGAACTTGGACCTTGTCCACTGGTCCGCTTGGCGACGCCATGACCCAGAAAGTCGTGTACTCCGACTCCTCTGTGTTCGGGCCGCGCGGAGTGCCAGTGCCTTGCTCTTACGCTGGTTCGATCAGCTTCAAAACTCATACTCTTACGCCTGCATCCTAAGCTATACTCTCATGTCTTCCCATCGAGTTGCAAATGTGGAACTTCTGGTAGTTGCCTTGGTGACGCTCCTTCCAGTAGTCCACAGCCGGAGAACGCTTCTGCGAGCGCAGGGTGGCACTGTTCAGCAGGTATTCGTTCTCCTCCGTAGAGAAGCAAGACATGCGAATCGGCTTGCCCCACTCAAAGATGCCAATCCATTTCCGGTATAGGTTCTGCATACCTTGCATGGCTGAGAGCAGCCCGTCTTTCGTGCGCCCCTTGAGTTCTGCCTCCCACGAAGAGTGGCGAGCCTCTAGTGGGTTCGTGCCACCGCCACTGCCGGGCATCGTGCCGAAGATGCCTGCCCAGAAGCTTGGAACCCAAAGCTTCTTTGCCCCACGCGCTGGTTCGCCAACTCTCTTGAAGAGTCGTTGGAGATCCTGGACGCTTGCCTGCGAGAAGAATTCCCGCTGCATGTACGTAGATGCCTCTGCAGGACAGTGCTCGAAGATGACTTGCCAAATCACGTCCGCCAGCTGCAACGTGGGCAAGCACCTGCGCACGCATGCTCTGCCCCTAAAGAAATATCCCCAAGGACTCCAAGACAAGCACACCCGCCTTGTGAGGTCTGACAGCTCGAAAATTTTGGCAACATCTGGGTCCAACTTCTTTGTGCGACGTTGTCCTTTGGTGAGCTTGGGAAACTTGTCAGGCAGTTGACGACGAATCGCCTTCTTGTAGTGAAAATAATCCCCTAGCAAACGCACTGCGGGGAACACGGCTCGCCGCGCAGCGGCAATGCCTGGCGCATAGTCTGCGTGCACCTGTATCAAGTGGGACTTCAAGTCAAAGCCACCGCGTTGCATAGCCAGCAAAGGTCCTCGAACAGTGCAACGAGATTTGGCTCGGACTCGCTGTGCACAATGGCCTGCATGATAGGCTGCGCAGTACAGGTGTAGGAGAGGTATTGCTGGCAGCGCCCTACAGCTGAAGCAGCATGCGTGTTGACAGGACGCGTACTACGAGCTGCAAAGCAGAGCGTGACCACACCGTAATTGTTTGCAATGGCGCCCATTTTCATGTCAACAATGAGCCGTACGCGGTGCTTGGCTGCATCTCGTACACGTAGCAACATTCCGGGGCAGGCAACAGGCACGTAGACTTGGCCGGCCTCCACGATAGCCCCATGGGGCGATCTCAACACCATGAGTCGCGAAAGATCTTC